AATAAGACTATTGCTTTAAACCCGATCTTTAAAATGATTCAACTTATCGCCAAGACGTGAAATTAACTTGAAATTTTTACCATTTGCTTATATAAAGCCAAAGAATAAAGCTATGTTTCAATTTCTTTTATTAATATGTAGGCTTTGAGCATTTACTATACAGAATATTTGAAAGTTTATTAATAAAGGCCAAAAAAATTATATTAAACGCATAACTCGAAACTTAATTAGGACATTAGTAAAAAATGAAACATAGTTACTTCGAAATGGTTCAAATAAACAATTTTAAGTCAGCAGAAATCAGAAAAATAAGTGCAATATTTGTGTGAATTCTTTAGAATTTTGCGCTTTTCTTAATATTAAGTAAAGTAAAATTTTATTCGATTAATTACTTTAATTTTACTGGTAACAATTTGATCATAGTAAAATTATCAATGTAACTGGCATAGATTTGATTAAGTAGCTGATGTGACACCTCAATATGACATGGAGCGAGTGCTCTACAAACATGCATATATACAGTACCCTCTGAAAGTATATTACGGTCACACAAAAAATCAATAAAAGATATGTATAATATAGCAACGTAGACCACCTCCAAGAACATATGAAAAATTGAAGACAACGTTTTTAGAGGAATAGGAAAGGTTAGATGCATTGATTTCATGAATTTAATCAACAGTATTCCAAATCATACTGCTGAAGTTATCTCTAATGGAGGTTATAGTTGCAAATATTGATGCATATCTTCAACACATATATTGTAATGATATATTGCTAAATTGGCATATTGATATTTATTATTAATTCGTTAAGCAATAAATTTACATGTTTAAAAAATTTATGTTGGTTTTAGTGTAACTGTGATATATTTTCTGAGTATACTGTACAACTTTACAAACATCGAATACATAATGGTTAAAGGGATCTTATCATTTTCCAAATTGCCACTTTCGTGACAATATCAAAATTTTGACAAGTTAGCCTGCATTAGATAAGGGTTGGTGTTAGTTTAGTTAATTATTGTTGTGATTTTGTTTGTTGGAAAATGATAGAGATCCATGGCTGAAAGGTATTTAACTTAACCAGTAAATTTATTTCATGATTGAAAGTACTTTAAAAGTTCATATTAGCAGATTTGCGGGATTGGGATTAAATAAGTATATAAAAATGATTTAACCATAATGATCCAAAATTTATCTCTTAAATTATAAAATGTAATAAAAATGTAATAAAACTTACACTAAATAGAAATTGTATATTTTTAGTTACTGAAATTGAGGATGCATTTTACAAACCTAATTTTGAAAGTTTGTTAATATGTTTATAGTGTTACAGTATTGCATACTATGATATTACAGCATTACAGCATTACGGCATTACAGCATTATGGCATTATAGCATTATGGTATTACAGTATTATAATATTATGACATTATGGCATTATGATAATACAGAATTATGGCAAATAATATGGCACATGCCATTGCCATAATAATTTGCCAAATTAATTTTACCACCAAAATATGTATAACATTCAGTAACTGTTTTATTTGGCAGGTGATAAGATCATATTGTACTGTAATCCTATGGCTTTACAGATCATAGTATGATCATTTCACATGACAAATAAATGATTTAAATTTAATGTATCAGATTTGAATCTAATGCATCAACTTTGGTCCTGAAGGGACCCAAATTGGTGCATAATATTCGAGACTGAACATTGAATAACAGGAAGGAAATGCTTTAAATCTAACATGTAAGATTGCTCAGAAGGGGTCCAAATTGGTGCATTAAATTTGAGACAGAACATATAACAATGGAAAGAAAATGCTTTACAGCTATTATCATTATTTTTGAAATATATGATAAAATTAACTGAAAGATTTTTCAGCTGATTCAGATAAGTTTACGATTTTGGCATAATGGATTTTATAAATTGATAAGTATATACATTATGTACGTATATAATTTAAGATTAAGTGACTAATATGCATAAATATTATGCTAACATAAATATCTCAGATCAAACACAGAAACATGATAATCTCAAAGCATCTTCACTGGTGAATAATTGAAAAAAATAGAAAATTAACATTTCAAAAATTGCAAAATCTTAAATGATAGCATGTCTTCTATAAGTCTAGTTATTAAATATTCTAATAATTGTAAGATGAAATTAGAGTGTATTATAAAGAAAAATAATAAATTTAACAAAAAATAACTTTACTAAATTATTGTATAAGAAAATAAAATTGATATTATAAAATTATATTATTAGATTTCAATACGAAAAAAATATTTAAAATTAGATATAAATAAATATTTCATAACTTTAAAGGTACAAATATTTATAAAGCTTGTTTAATTTTAAATAGATATTTGAATTATATCATCTAATATGTAAATTTATTAAATTTTAACAGTGTTTATTGTTTATATTATTCTTTAATACTTTCTAGCAAATAAATAATTTGAATTTATTAAATAGATACATATATATTTGTTTTTAATATGAAGAAGGGTTTAAAAAGAAGAAATCTAAAATAGAAAATCAAATTGGTTGGTCTAAAAATAACTGTGCATAAAAGTAGTTATAAGTATTTAGCAGTTATATATATACAATAAATAAAAGAATAATAAATATAAATATTAATAAATTTAATAATAATTTTAGTTATATAATATTTATAATTAATATATAAATATATTTATTGAAACATTTCATGATAGACAATATTTTTTGTACATTCATCAATTTCAGGTAAACCTAAATATATTTTTAAATTCTAATGTGAAGTTACTCTTGAACATGCAACATATAATTGACCATGAGAAAATACAGGAGTTGGAAGATATAGTCCAATATAGTTCATTGTCTGTCCTTGAGATTTATTAATAAACATAGCAAATGCAAGTTGACATGGAAATTGTCTGCGCTGAAGAACAAATGGAATAGATTTATTTTTAGAAGACAAAGTAATACGTGGTAAGAAGACACATGTATCAGCCAAAGGATCATAATCAGTTCAGCTTCAATTACATAGTCTTGAAGTGTTCTACAAATTAAGTGAGTTCCATTATATAAACCATCAGCTATATTAATATTACGTAATAATATTATTGATACACCAATCTTAAGAGTTAAATTATGTGGAGGTAATCTACTAAACTTTAATGAATTTAAAAATTCTGTAGAATATAGACTTTCTTGAACAGTATTATATATTTCAGAATTTTTATCTAAAGTATCTGCACTAAAGTAAACTTTTTCTTTTTCAGGATATTGAGCAAGTATTTGTATATTAAGCATTAAGTGGTGCAAGAATACCTCTTTTTGTAAAATATAAAGGATCATAAATATGTGTTTGTAAGTTTGGATATACAAATTTTATTAAGCTTTGAAATGACTCAGATTGAATAATAATATCAGAAGGCAAATGTATAAAATTACTATTAGGCTGAATTTCAGGAATAAGACCTTCTCCAATATTAAGTAACCAATCAGCAAATTCTGATTGTGTTGTATTAGTTTGTTTACACAATCGCATATTAATAGTCAATTTTCTTACTTTTATATATGACTACAAATATGATTGATGCAAAGTAGCATTAACAATATCTTCTTGTCTACCTTTTAGAATAACAGGAAGAATTTGTCTAAAGTCACCTCTGAAAATTATAATCTTTCCACCAAATGGTATATATTCTAACTGTGGATTAACAGTACGCATTATATTCTGAAATGTTCGATCAACTGCTTCAAATCTATGATGATGTAACATAGGAGCCTCATCCCAAACAATTAGAACAGTTTGCTTTAGAAGATTAGCAAGATCTGTTCGTAAAGATATATTGTAAGTAGAATCTTCATTTAATTCAATAGGAATTTTGAAGCGAGAGTGTGCTGTTCTGCCACTATCAAGCAGTAATGAAGCAATTCCAGAAGAAGCAACTGCAAGTGCAACTTTATTTTCTGAATGTATTGATGCTAATAAAATTTTATACAAAAATGTTTTTCCAGAACCAGCCAGACCATCAACAAAAATACATGTAGAAATATTTTGCTCAATTGCTTCCATAACTTCATTATAAATATATTATTGATCTTCATTAAGACATGGAATATTTTTTTCAAGAAAATCACAAAGTTTTAATTGGTCATAATTTAGCTCATCATTTAGTAAGCGGTTAGAAAAGTCATGTATAATATTAGGAATAGGCATTTTTGGAAAATCTTTTAAAGTTTTGCTTTGTTGCATAAGAATATCATCTAATATATGCAATGAACAGTTTTCAATATCTTGTTGTGTCAACTGAAGATTTGGATTATTTAATTTACAACGTAATTTATATAAAATATCATCACTTAAACAATGTTTATATTTAAACCATAGTTGTTCAGGATGTGTAGGATAACAATTCATTAAAATAGTTGCAAATAAATATCATAATTGACATCCTGATTGTATTTCTGATGCTTCTTTAAGGCATCGATCACATTCTAAATCATTTTGTAAAAGACCTAATGCCTGACATGCATCTTTAAATGTTGTATAAATTATATTATTTACAGTACGTAAATGTTTAAAAGAATATGCACCACATATAATATTAAGTAGTAATCTTAAATAATAACGTTCTCCAGCACCTGGATGTACAAAGTACATACGACCAATAGCATGTCCACTGACATGTTGTCTCTAATTTTTTGTTTTTTTATCAAAAACAAATTTTCTAGAAAATTGTGCATAAGTTAGATTATTTGCTAGTTGACAAATATTTGGATCACTATTTGCTTCAAACTATGCTGTTAATGTAGTTCTTTTATTTTGTGCTCATTATGCAATAATATCCAAAGATTCATTATCAGAAAAGGTAACAAAATGCTGACCAGGAAGATGCACAACTAAGCGTATAACATCAGGAGCTTCATCATGCATTTTATAATGCATAATATGTCAGACAGATTCATGAGCAGATATATAACATGCATTAATATATTGTTGAATTTCATCTACAATATTATCAGTACTAAGAGCAATTGTTGCACGATCATGACCTTTATAAACATATTTAAATAGATATTTAATCGCATGTATTGAAGAACAAATCTCAACATTAATATAACAGTTAAATTTTTTACAAAGATATAAATTGTGAGGTACAACCCATTGATTATCAAGATCAACACCTCTAACTTTAACTGTGTGAGAATTATCACGGTGTCGATATATAGAATAACCATCATTATTTTGAGTTGTTTCTGATTGAAAAGGTTTTGAATAACCTTTTGAGCATTTACTATTTCGCATGCAAGGGGCTTCTATATTATATATTCCACATGGACCATGCATCATATACTGCATTACAGTTTCATATTCCTGTGGATAAGTAAGAGGATCTGGAATTTCAGCTGATACAATACAATCAAAATCTTCTGGAGTATGTGGCTTGCTATCAGAGGATAATATAACTAATATATGTGCATGTAAAAGACCACATTTTTGTGATTCAATAACATATATATGTGCAAGAGATTTGCCAAAAATACTATTATCAAGAATATCTTTAAGAAGAGCTCGTAATTTTAATCGAAATACGCAAGCACAAAGGTCTGGTCGATCTTGTGAAGACTGATCTGATAATAAAGCTAATTGAATCTCTGGCCAATTTGGATTACATATCATTGTAATAAACAAATCTGGTTTGCCTATTTGTCCAACAATAGTCATTGCATCTTGATATAGTTGTTGTATATGGTGAGGTCCATCTACAAAACTGAACGGAAGTATAACTCTATAACCAACTTAGAACCCAACTCGGGGCAACTCATCATGAATAGAAAGCACATCCTGTAGGGTTGTTAATGGAGTACTCCAAGCTATAATAAAATATATAAACCACTCCAGTTTAAAACTGGAGTGGTTGATATATTTTATTATAACTTGGAGTACTCCATTAACAACTCTAATATCCTGTAATCCACTATATAATTCAGCACGAATTTTTTTCTGATTATATTTCAAATAGTTAAGACGATTTTGCTTAATGCATGCATATGCATCAACAATATATTGTTGAAATAAACGTCCACTTCTATGCAATGCAAATGATTCTAATGGACATTGCCACCGTAATTGCAAACGATAAGCATAGTATTGCATCATTGTAATATAAAGTGAATTAGTATTTTCATATTCATGCATAATATTTAAATTATCATTTCTAGAATGGGCAGTATTATTTGCAAGAATATAAGGATGCCATCCAGAATCACTATATGGAAAGAGTAAGACATAATGTAATAGAATATAAGAATGATGAGTTTGAGAAATTTGCTGCAAACTTCCATTTTGTCTGTAGAGCACAATATCTCAGTTTGATAGTTCAGTTTCTTGACCATCACCTACCATGAGAACAGCAACTTCAGATGCAGAGGGAGGATTATATTGGTGTTTATTGTATGCTTTAATAATTACAAAATTTAAAGCTTGAAAAGAATTTTTATATAAACCATATGCTATTTGTCGAAAAATATGAACATATGGGTTAATATTATGTAACATAAATTGAAGTTGTTCAAGAATTGACAAATCTAAATCAGGCATTAAATATTGTCTATAAGCTAGTTGCTCATCAGTATCATAAAAATAAATTTGTGAAAATGCAGGCATTAAGTTACTATCAGGTAAAAGTGATCCTATTTGATGATACACCTCACTATGGATTCGAAAACAGTAGATACCTCGTGTATCAACTACTTTTCGATCAATTTTAGCACCCATTGATGTGAATGCCAATATTGAATTATACTTGCGAATATTTTTTTGAAAATTACAAGATCTACTATCTTCTCAATAAGTAATGAAAGCAAAGGCTCAGGTGGTTGATTAATAATTGGCAGTTGTACTTTTCCATTTACACAACAGGTACTAAATACTGGATTAAATACACTACCAGCCACCTTTTCATCTATCCAGTATAATGCATAACAATGCGAACATTCCACATTCATTGATCCCAACTCATGACGGCTAACAGTAACAGTATCATACAATTGCATACAGGCAGCATTAGAAGAACATTTTCATTGAACATGTCTTATATATGCCATGTGCTGAGACTTATACTGATAATCAGTTTGTTCATTCAAAAAAGCTTCAGTACGAAGTCTATAGGCTTCACGTTGCTGGGTACGTTGATGTTCAAGTTATTCATCTGTAAGTAATAATTTTCGGTGTGCATAAGCTTCTCTAGCAAGATGGTTCTTACGATCTCTTGGTGATTCTAAAGTAGTCATTTAAAAACAATATAGCAGCAAATTCAAACAGGTTTTTTAATAAGAGAAACTACCAAATGTAAAAATTTCTTTAAATAATAGTACAATAGGATAAATTAACATTTATTGTCACAGATTAAAACGAAATCTGATCAAAACGAAATTTTTCTGTTTTTTAAAAAAATATAAAATTTTTTGGGAGCCATTTTTTGGAGTTCTTTTTAGCATTAGGGGTAGGGTTTAGGGTTAGGTTTATTAATAAATGAGTATATGTGGGTTTTATAGGCTCTAAGGGTGGGCATGAGAGGTCCCCAGTTTCATTTTGATCAGATTTCATTATGATCTGTGATATTTATTACAGATTGATTATTTTAGTTTAAATTGGAATTTTTTTTTAATGATGCGCATATGATATTTGGTAATAAGTAATTTAATAATAATAATACAAATAACAAATAAAAATGGACTTTTATTAATGATATGAACAAAAACCAACTATAAACCTTTCATATCTCTTAGATAAAAGACAAAATGAGTATACAGCTTAGAAACAAATAGATTTTTTCGAAGAGATATTCTAACTATTTTTCTAAATATTTTAATTATTTTTCTAAATATTCTAACTATTTTTCTAAGGAAAATTCTCAAGAACGTAAGGCTGTACATAACAAAGATCTTCTAAGTTTTCGATAATCTTAAATAATAACTATTAACGGTGATCGAAATGAAAAAATAAAACCAAAAAAAAAGGAAAATCATTTTCTTTGAACTAACCGCATGCATAAATATTAAAGTTGACGATCCAATCTATAGACTGATAACAAATGATCGAGCATGAAAAGATCAACAGTTAGATATGCAAGAAAGTGGCGCAAATGCCAAACGACGGAAAGATCTATGCGTTAAAGGAAAATGAAAAATTGTATTATTAGATATGTCGCAGGTGAGAATAGAATTTAAGTTGATTCAGAATTTTTAAGTTATGCCGTTCTAATCTAAGTGTATTCCTACTTACAACATATAAAATACTGTAATACTATTTTTTTTATTTTTTGTGCTACCATCGATTTCAGAAGAGCTTGAGTTGCAGTAGTCTCGATAACAATGTAACATTGTATAGATTTGATCTCATCTTAAAAGCACATGTTTTACAGGATCAAAAAAAAACATAATTAATTACGAAAGAGCCATCTACAATATTCTCTTTTTGTTTTGTCGACTAGCTAATAAATTATTGGAATTATTGAAGTAGCATTGGATGATCTAAAATGAACTGTTAAATTTGTAACAAAAAATTGTAGAAAATGAGATTTCAAAAAAAGAGCATGCTTTTTTCTCTAAAATATTTAACCTCCCGTAAAATTTTCGCAGAATTAAAAAATAACTATTATAATCTATATTCAGCATTATGGAAATTTACTGTATAAATGGATTATCACTTTGTAATTCATGATAAATTTTAATCTTTATTGGTATAAAATTTATAAATTAGCATAAAGAACCTTGTATTCTTGTTTGTTTTATTTTTTTATTTTTATATAATAATTTCATTGTTTATGGGCAATTAGAATTTTTAGAATCTCATGTTGTATATTCGAGTAGCAGAGATGATTTAACTGATCTGCCCGATATGACAGCATCGATGTTCGATCAATTTATGATGGTAGCTCTTTTTTATGTTCAAGAACGACAATTATCTTTACAAATTCATTCATGGACTATTATTAAACAGGTCTACAATAGATATCAGACTTTTGTTTTCTTGATATAAAAGTTACGATTTTACAGTATTTCCTTTAACTATGCGATATTATATATCAAAACATTAATAGTAACATACAAGTCACTGGGATAGTTATAAATTACAACAAAAAATTGTAAAGGGTTTGTGTCAAATTGTTATCTTTAAAAACTTTAAATAAATTTCTACTTATAGTTTTGAATAGTAACTTTTTTGTACTGAATATGTTTATCAATGAATACACAATGTTAAACCTTGTTATGAATACACAATTGTCATCCTTCTTAATCTATATCATAAATAAAGCTAACAATACATTAGTTTATGTAAGTTATTCTTTGCGTAAAATTATGTCTTATGTTGGATCAAAGTAACTTAAAACTCCTAATTATAAATATATTAGGCAACTAAACAATACCAATAATAATTCTTTTTCACTTCTGAATAATTCTTCCCTTACATGTGTATTTTCAATGGTCAATGAAAACTATGGATTGATCATTAAAGAGCTGAAAAATGTGTCGATTTAAAATAAGTCAACAACAAATGTACTAATAAATTATAGGTCTTTAAACCAATAACACGTAAAATTTCAGAAAATTCAGTGTTTTACCATGCAGGAAATAATAGAAAAATAGCAAACATTTCATGTTCATCAGATTAATAGTGAATTGGAAATGTATGTGTGATTACAGAAATTACAGAAATTACAGAAATTACAGAATTTACAGAAATTACAGAAATTACAGAAATTACAGAACAGACAAAATTTGGCAATTATTCATTATTTACGACATATCAAATAAATTTTTTGTCTTCTGGCTCTGTGACTAAAACCTATTAGTTCTCTAATAATATGCAGTTCAATATCGAACCGTCATTTTTTGGTAGATGCTTGTATCTAATTAGGCATTTAAGCTCATTTCTTGTTCTACAGACTTTTACAATTGTATTGACTACAGTAATAATAACTTCAAAATAAATCTTGATCCATTAAAAGAATATCAAAATATGAACCAAATTTTCACTATTCCTAATAGCACTGAAAAACTATGGAACTTGTCTCAATTGATTCAAATTGATTCGAGAAATTTGACTTTTCGAAGCGCAAGCTTTAATTTAATAAAAAACAATAATTATATATTCTACGTAAATTATTCTTCCAATAAATAGGATATTTTTGGTATAAATATGCATCTGTCTAAAAATAACAGAAAGTGCATAAGAATCATTTTATTTTGTTTCAAATTTTAATCTAGATTATATAATGGTTTTAATGCTGTATTAAATATATTAGATGATTATAACAATCTGAATATTATTTCAATATATTCCCAAATCAATGAAAGTATTCACTATAACTTTTTCAAACAACATTTTTAGATCCTTGAATTCCTTGAATAAACTTGCTATCAATTATATTAATGCAAGCACCAATGAATTAGCATTCAAAATTTTATTCGAATTCAGATTGTAATATTACACTTAAAAATCTTTTTTTAATCAATGGAATACTACGTATATAATTGCTATAGATAATAACTTTGTTACATTTGATTCAACAAATGGCCTATGTATGGTATTGAAGAATGTCAATGAATTTTTAGTCAATTATATGTGACCCACATGAGCAGGTTCATTATCATTTACTATTTTATATAAATAATATTAAAATATATAATAATGTTCTGGCTCATTTCACGATTTCGATCAATTCCAGATTGAACTAGATCATTTCTCAATTGGTGAAAAATTAAAAAATCTACTCCCAAGCAGTAAATTATACGACAAAGCAATAATATTAATTATATTATTGAAGTTCTTTCGCATGAAAAAACAAATCTTAAAAAATTTTACATTAAAAAATTAGAAAAATATAAATTGTTTTTTATAATGAAATTTAATTATATTAGAAATAAAGATTCAAATAAAAAAATTCGCATAATCAATAAAGATTTTCATAATTAATAAAAAACATGTAATTACGCTATCAGGATTAGAGATGGGTTTGGTTGGTTACGGTTGGTTATCAGTCAGCTATTATTGACTGACTAATAGTTGACTATAGCCAGTTATAGTCAATCAATGTATAAAGCATTTAATTATATAAACAGATCAATATGGATCAGCCTGAAAATATGAAAAATCTCATATTATTGTTCATCATAGAACCTATTCCTTCTGATAAATGAACAACTTCTATGGCCAACAATACTTCTGTGCTCTACAAAGTACAGTATGGGATAGAGTTACAGAACAAGCCAACTTTTGAGATTTAAACTCTATTGCTATATCTGGGAGTGGTGGGAGGGTTGTAGCTAGACACAATGTTAAGCAGAAAATTCAAAAACAAAGAAATTGGTTGATTATCAAATTACTCAAATATAAATGCTATTAAAGCCTCATTACCAAATTGATCTGCCATCACATATCTGACTTGTAACTCACAATAATGTCCTGCCTTGTAACTTCATTCACAAGTAGGTCATTTTGATTGGAGCTTCTCAGCATCGCATTAAACATTTCACCTTTACATAATCTAAGTAACTTAATTTATCTCCACTGCAACAAAAATTAATGTCAATATTATTAATTTTAATAATACATTTTAATTAACATTTAAAATTATACTTTGTATATCGTACAATAATAATAGATTCAAATTCTACAAATAACAAACAAAAACATTGTAGTGGATATAATAAATTTTATTCTTCTAATTGGTTCATTAATAATTCAAAGATTTTTAATATATGTAATGCATGTCATAGTTGAAATTCTTAAGTAAAAATAAAGAATAAACATTTTGAAAATATTGATCAAATAATCTTAGATTTATCTTATTTTAGCAACCATATAATAGAAACTATTGTTAGTGGATTAGTAGACAATATACACTTCTACAACAAAAAGAAAAATAAAAGTTGGTCTTTGAATAAAATAGATAAGACCACTATAACAACACTTAGTAGAGAGGTGAGACAGATAATGACTTGGCATGGGTTTTTAAATAAATAAATCAGTATAGTTTTTAATGAATGCTGTAACTTAGAGTCTTTATTAATGAATTTTATTGTATAGAGGGTGAATTGTATATACTTGAATTATTGTAAAGTCCTGATTATTATAACTTAACAAGAGGAATTCAATCTTTTATTTATAATAAAATTATAGAACAAGAAAAAGAACAAGATCAAATGTTTTCTTATTGTTTGTCATTGAACTATCATTGGACTCATACCATTTAACCTTTTCTGGTCTAATTTCCAACCTTTTATATAGCCATTTTTATTGAAGTATTTAACAAAATGAAAAAGAAGGTACAAGAAGGTACATTGAATGAAGGTTTTTATACTGTTATTATTCTTTACCCATCAATTTTATTGATTAATTTATTGACTTTTTTATTAAACCATTTGCTTTTATCTTTCAAGACTACACATCTTACCTACAAGAAAATATTATTTTGACAGCTGTCAACTGAATTATATAAGTATCATTTCTTCAATAAAATCATTTGATGGGAGCTTAGCTTTCATACGATTAGTATTTGGCACTTTAATATAGAGAATCTGGCTTGGACAGGTTTGCTTACATAGGATTGTTAAGTAGAAATTGTGGATATCAGGACACTGCAGTACAATAGTGTTTATATAATGATTTATGCATCCAAACATATATTATTTTACATGATTTTCATATTTTGTGAGCACATGGTTTTGCTAGTAAAAATTATTCCCACTTTAATTTTTTATATTCTGTAAAAAATCTAATATGTCAGTCTTCGGAGTCACCTAATCACATGTCTTCTTTTGCAGCACAGTAATATGAATGATTTTTTTTTTGACTAATATAAATTCTATAAAAATACTAACTACTAAATATGACTAAAACTAAAAACTTATTACAAACAAAAAAACTACAGAAATCACATGACTAAACAAAAAAAAAATAACAAACACAAAAAAACACATTTATATTCAAAACAAAGAGTCAAACCCTTGTTATATGCTCTTAACCCCATGTATGACTGTAGTATGCATCCACATACAATCCAAAAGATATCCAACCTTTTCTAATTCTTGTTCTAAATCTAAACATATCTAATGAAGTTTACTATCAAAATGCTTAAGAAAAACTTGACACAAAGAGAAAACCTATAGCATTGCAAGCAACCAAAATGTCATGTGTCCTATAATTTATCACTTTGGGCATGTAATGATTAAAGGAGATCTTACATTAATTTTTACAAGACCACTTCCACAATCAATACTATTCTTCATAGCCATCACTTGATTGACCTCAAATTCTGACTTTCCAATCAATGACTGTTATACTCTTCATAAATTTTATATCTAAAGTCTTCATTATTACTAAAATATGTGCTTATTAGATCATAGATTACATTACATTTACCATCTATAGCTTTTCTCACTTTGTCAATTACGATTCTATTTGTATAACTACACCCAAGGTCAAGAGGAGTATTAACATAGCCTATACCATTATTTTCTATATCAGCAGATTCCTGATAATAAATAGATACCTGATGTTCAACCTTTTCATCTTCAATTCTATTTTCATTTCAGTTATAGCAACTAACCAATTCTTGACGATATTCAAATACCTTCTTTTATTGGAGTATTCTGATATGTTTTCGACTTTTGTTTTATCTCTTTGATCAAATTTTATTTGTCTAGCATCACTATTACCATTTTTAATAGTTTTATCAACATGATCGATTTCGCAGCCATAACCTTTTGGATCTTTATAATTCGTCGCATTTACTTCACTTTACTGTTATTCATTTTTCTTCAATTCTTCTGGGATTATAAATGTTGCTTTTTTAAGGCCAGACTAAATTATATAATAACACCTTACATTTTTCTCTATGACCTGACATTGGACTTTTATTACCCATGACATTCCAAGGATAACATCAGAAGCCAACTTTGCATAATGTGAAATGGTTGATTTATACCACATGCTGGGCAGATACCTTATATACAGTGCAGTACATTTAGCAACAAAATACAGTACAAAACTTCTACACCCTGCAAATACTTTGGCTGATTAATGTGCCACTAATCTGGCACACATTAAAGGGGTCACTGTGATTTACGACTTACATCATATCACAAAATAGCTGCAGCTTCACTATAAGATAGCTGCGCAGTATGCGATGCCACGCAGAACCAGCATGATCAGCCAAGTTGGACTATCAGTTTCAAAAATTTTGTTCAAATAGCTTATCTTACCACACTGATCTTTATATGACTGATTTCTACTGAGAGTTACTGTAATAAAACCTACTATTTCAGTAATACAAAGTGTGTGAGTTAGTTAATATTAGAATCGTAATTTCTGTTGTGAGTTACTGTAAAAAAAAACAACCTTTATTTATTAGGCATTAAAGAACAGTAGAGGTCTTTTCAATTTTTAACAACCACCCTATCTTGTTTAGTGCCTCAGGATGCATTGATTGTAGACCAAATTTGCATAAAAGTATCTTCCTATGTTTCGAATAAAAATAAATTTCCCAATAGAACATAATTAGAAATTATACTTTTTTCAAAACAGGAAGAGGCTCCCTTATGCAAATCCGGGCTATATTCGATGCGCCTTGACATACTAAAATAAGGCAAGACAGCTATTTTGATAGCAACTATAATTTCTACCATTAGTTAATGCAAAAAATTGTTATGGATCTCGCTTCCTATCCCAGAGATTATAGTATTTGAAGTTGAGTTAGCTTGCATTGGTATTACTGTAAAAAATTATATTACAAAACTTACTCACTATTCCAGTACACATAGTATGCTGAATTATTACCGTAAAGCATTCTGTTACAAAACACTTTTTTTTTTTTTTTTTTTTTTATAGAACGACCTCATTGGTCGGGGGGTTTCCCTTTATTATTAAAGTATCTGCAGTCCGTATTTTTACGGAAGGGTTTACAGTAACATATCAACGAGGGTACAATAAGCCACACGTACAACTTTAGTCATTGTCTATTTAAGGGTTCCGCCCGTAGGTTCCCCACTCATTGCCATACCTAAGACCCGCTTGTGAGTCCCCTATTTAAACTCTCTGATTTTCAATGTTATTCTGCTCACGTGATCCTTAATTTAGGTACTTGGTCCAACCTTCAGGCTACTTTACCCGTGAGGTAAATTCTACCGAAGTAGGATGTAGTTTACTAATGCATTTTATTAATCTTAACGTTCTTATACCTAACCAATCAAATATCGTAAGTTGATTTTAAAAACCATATTTATGCAAATGTCTTGAATTTTATTGATGATCAATTCATGATGACATTAATGCAAATGATGCAATAATTGCAAATGATGCAATAATTGCAGATGATCACAGAAATGTCGTAATAATTACTTACCCATTTGTATATTTCTGTAAGTTTTTCCACATTCAGGTCACGTTTTTAAGATATGACCAATTAAAAACGTCAAAAAGCACAAACCCAGAATTGAGTTAAACTTATCAATGTAATTCTTTTAACGTACCAGAGATATATTTTTTTCACACAATCACACAGCATATTGTATTTTTGTTGTATAATACTGTATTTAACATAATCAGTTATACTGTATTTCTTCTCACACTAACATGACTTGAATTACATATCGACACATGATACGTACTGTGTCGATATTTCTACTATAATTGGAAAAATGAAAACCATCACTTATACCAAAAAAGGATTTTGCAAAAATCAGCATAGCGAACATCAAAAAAGTTGAACAGAAACCCTCCCTTACACATTTCATGTTACACATTCAACGTGATCGTACTGGTATAATCGGTCGTAATTAGAGATGGGAAAATCGAAGATTTTTTGAATCTACTGCACAGGCCGTGCAGGCTGCATAGGCCCGTGTTATGGTAATCTCTGCTAATGCGGGCCAAAATTGTTAAATTCCGAAATATTCCTACCTTCCGAAAAATTCCGCCTGCGCAGCGTCATATCTCTATCGTAATTAATTACTTAAATACGGTTGCGTCACTAGTTATAATTAATACAATTAACTATTATATTATAGCTATCTTGGTTTATAAAGTTAGATGTGATCTAAGACAGTTAATATTGTCCTTTATACTAAGTATAATATTAATCTGAAAAAAAGCAAAGAAACATTGCAAAATTACAATATTGATTGTTATTAAAAAAATATCTACGTATGATTAAAAATTATCTATACCACAGTATATAATCATTTATAATTTAACTAGTATTACTAGAACTACTAGAACTACTACTCAAAATAAGCTTTAATTCAAACTCTCCAAGAATTTCTTCTAAAGGTATATAACCTGATAAAGGTCTGAAATGAGTAACACCACCTACTGCGTGAATGCCATTTAGACTTACATGTCGCAAATCTTGTTTATAAGAAAATACAGGACCTCCACTGTCACTCGGACCATGTCTTGCGCTGTGAAATGTTAATGGATATTTGATATCTCCATTCTTATTCGTATAAAATCCATTGACCCCAATTATTTCTCCACAAGTAATATGCGTCGTGATGCCAGACTTACATATATGAGCTCCATAACTGGGTGCGGCTGTGTCATCTTCGACAATCAACTCTTTATTATATAAAGAATCTGTGTTCCTTATAATCACTGGTATTTTAATCCTTTTGATAATTTCGTCATTATTTATAGTGATCAAACCAACGTCGAGCGGGGTTATATTGTACAATTCCATAGGCCCAATTAAATCGCTACAAACAGTTGAATTCCATTGCTTATAGTAAAACGGGGAATTGTTGCTCTTAAAGCAATGTCCATTAGTCACAAAATAATTGGATTTTAAATCTTTTGATTTTGCCCAAAAACCCAATGTACAACGGCTTCTATTGACTTTATTATATAATCCATCTCCAGCCATGAATCGAGTACCTATGTCTCGAGTATTTATATTGTTTATCACTATATTATTTGTCTCAACAAAAGGAGGTTGGGTATTACGTGTATTAGAATCATTAAAGTGCTTTACAGTTTTATTATATTGACTAATTTGCCTGATGGCATCGAAAAATTCCCTATTTTGTTCATCATAATTTTGATATGATAATAAAACGACGTGATTAATTTGTATAAAAATGTAACAAGAGATTTTCAAGGGTTTAAATCTTTTAGCTAGATTTAATATTTGCTCAAACGTTTGTCTCAATTTTGCTATGGAATTTTTCACTGGTATAAAGATAAATAAAGATTTATAATCTCTCATCCTGGATATTATACTCCTCCTCACAGTCTCGTCTCGTTCTGCAAAAATGTATATTTTATTCCTTGGTACATTTATGTAAGTTCCTCCAATACTTGTGTTATATTCTTCTAGTATTGGCTGTAGGAGTTTATCAACCATCAATAAATTCTTTTCGTTACCAATAGCGTAGGTAACTCACTATAGCTTACATTCCACAATTTTGCTAATGGTTCTTCATAAGCATAAATCTTTAGATAATTTTGTAAAGCAAAAATTATTAATAATAAATTAACTAAAAAGCTAGCTTTCATAGTTGCGATGGTTCAAAATATATGATAACAATGGTGAATTAAAAAAAAAAAAGAATTGATTGTGTCATTAACTAAAGCGCATATCCAATATTAAATGTCGGGGATGATGTTGAAACAGGATACTACGGAAACTTGGGGTCTCGATTTAATAATATTAACCTTACTAAAATCAATCTATAACCTTTTTACAGTGGCCTACCATATAAGTGTGGACACTTTTTGGATCGTGATTGCTCAAGAACGGGTAAGTATGCGCAGCACG